AGAACTTCAGTAAATCACCAGCACACACTATTAACTCAGGAATCACTTCATTATAGACTTTTTAATTTTTACAATAAATAATTGAGTCCCATAAAACATGGAAGTTGACACCATTACTTCTACAGGTCTTTAAGTTTGGCTCACAAACGGGTTCACTGACGACCTTTAGGAATAAATATAACAGTGATCCGTAAAAACTTGGATTTTCATCTCAGGACTTCCTGAATCACCTCTCTGTGACTGACCAACTGGTAATTAGCATCTCTATTAAGAACAGTGTGATTCTCTTTGCTCTGCTCTCCATGTTTGATTCTATTGTGTGGAGGTGTGGGGGGCTTTGGGTAGTCGTTCTGCTGTTGATTGTCTGTGGGTGTGGTTGTTTTTTGTAGTGTTTATTGTTTTAAATGTTCTCTGATGTATTGAGACTGTAGGAGAGTTTCTCTCTTTTTAAAGTCACTGTGAGCGACCCTTCAGAAGAGAACCATGTCCAACTGTTTTCTCTCTTTGATTCACGTCTTAAAAGTTTCCTGAATCATATTACATCTTGTCTTATTTCTTTAGCGAACTGGCAATTCTCCTATTTTTGGAAGACATTTCTATCATAACATAATTAAAATACCACTTTCTTAAGACTTCAGGAATCTAGTGGGTTCATAATTGAATTGAATTTATTTTGTATAGCGTCAACTCATAACAAGTGTTATCTCAAGATACTTTACAAAAAGCAGGTAAAATACCTTACTCTTTGTCTGTTAACATTACAAAAGAGCAGGTAAAAAGACCTTACTCATTGTTATGTTACAAAGAGCAGGTAAAAGACCTTACTTATTGTTATTACAAAGCCTGTTCGGCATCCATCAACATGAGCACTTTAACAAGCAGCAAAAGTAGTGGTAGTGACTGAAGAAAAAAAATGCTTACTTATATGCAGAGAGAGAGAGAGAGAGAGAGAGAGAGAGAGAGAGAGAGAGAGAGAGAGAGAGAGAGAGAGAGAGAGAGAGAGAGAGAGAGAGAGAGAGAGAGGAGCTCAAGGTGCCAGTTCCCCCGGTAGTCTAAGCCTATAGCAGCATAACTAAGAGCTGGTCTACACCAGCACTAACTATAAGATTTATCAAAAAGGAAGGTTTTAAGTCTATTCTTAAAAATACAGACTGTGTCTGCCCCCCTCTGGAAGGCGGTTCCAGAGGAGCGTAGCCCGATAACTGAAGGCTTTACCCCCCATAGTACACTTAGAGACTGTAGGTACCACCAGCCTGCACTCCGGGACCGCAACGCTCTCGAGGGACAGTACGGCACTAGTAGCTCCTTCAGGTTAAGATGGAGCCTGGCCATTTAGAGCTTTGTAGGTGAGAAGAAGGATCTTGAATTCTATTCTAGACTGTATAGGGAGCCAGTGCAGAGAAGCCAGGACAGGAGTGATGTGGTCCCATTCCCTGGTTCTGGTCAGTACATGAGCTGCAGCGTTCTTAATGGTTCATAAGGCCATTAAGAGCTTTATTAACTTATTCTATAACAAACAGAGGTGTAATGTGTGCTCTAGCTCTCGTCTCTGTTAGTCGTCATGCAGCTGAATTTTGGATATATAGAGCACATAGAGCGCACATAGAGATCATGTTGTTTCTGTAGACATCTATGATACATTTTAATGGTTTTTAAAATGTCTCACAGAGTCATGAAGAATGAAGGTATCCTCTTAGAGATATTTATTTTTCAATGATTCTTACTTGATATGTTCACCACCTAGTTGATCGTTTTCATTTTTCCCAAGACATCATTTCTGATTGATTTAATTTCTTTGTAACAGTTTTATGTTTTTTTCCTGATATATTTATAATATTTTCAGGATATGCTGAGCTTCCTGTCCTCCTCTCCTGGATGTTTTTGATGACCTTCGCTGTCCGAGGTGCTGAAATGATCCCGGCTGTAGCATGTTGTGTCATTTGCTTATAAACAAAATACAAACAGAAATAATCTTCCTTCAACTTGGTGTGAATGACTTTGAGATGTTAAAGGTTTTCTGGTTAATATGGAGGTCAGTCAGTCTAACAGGAGTCCTGCTGCAGCTGCTGGTCAGAGGGGGGCGCTAATGCTTCATAAAAAATAATTATGACATATTAAATGTGTGCCCCTGTTTGATAAAGAAAGCATATTAATTTAGTCTAGGGAATACTTAAATGGGGGTTAATGTGATTATTACAATGAATGTTGGAGGTATTCTAATGAGAGTCAGACATCCTGAAGATTAAAGAGTGAAAATGAAACAAAATAACAGATACGTTACATTCTCATTTAATGAGCTCATCCATATTAAATAAATCAGAAAGAAGGATGAAGTTGTGCAGGACGATAACAAGTCAGTCTGACTGAACAAGTATTTTAATCCTAATCATAAAAATCATAAAAATGAGAGTAAAAAAAAATGAAAATCATTGTTGATTGTTAGAATATTTACATACTAGTGAGGTAGACATCTTGTGTTATTACAACACTTAATCACCTTTAAAGAATAGTATCTACCCGTAACTTGTGATCGTCACAGTCCCAGTTTATTCAACATGTGTGTTAGAGTGGCTCTGTCTTACTCCACAAAATGCGCACACAAACTGCAGCGCTGGAAAACAAATGGGTAATGTGTGCTTCATCAAAAACTCCAGTCCAAGTTACACGTTTCAATACTTGACTGAAAGCTTTATATACAAAAATACAATCAAACAAAATGTAAACGGTCCAAGACCAGTGTGCTACTGTAGCTCCACAGCTTCTAATAAAACAGGCAAGCCAGTACTGTCAGCATGCTGCGAGCTTTAACCAGTCAGCAGCCAGAGTTGACTGGAGCCTTAATTACCTTCAATTAATACCTTCAATTAAGCATGCGGCACCTGATCTACTTAAAAATGAAACACACAAAAGATATATTACACTTACGTATGTATAAATGGCTCTAACACTGTTCTCTCCACTACAGTTAGTAAACTCAAGAACATTCAATTGTAGAAATAAATATGTAGAAAACTCAATTTAAAGGCGTCAATAACAAACTAAACATACATACACAGTTATAAACACATTAAATGTGTTTGACTCAAGGTGAATTATCATGTAGTGAATAAGTGATGATGGTCCAGTTATCACGATGAATCCAAACTACAGAAACTATCTACATGTCATCAACAGCTTCTAACTGAAGGAGACAAAATATAAAACTTTTATTATGAATACTCAGTAACCAGGCTGTTCTGGAGAATCTGGAGGATTTTACTGACGATCATGTGAATGGTTCAATTAATTTGGTTTCCTAAAGATTTAATTTTATTCAAAATAAAAACCAACATTTCAACAGACAATTAACCTCTTTATACTACGTGGTCAATTTCAAATCCTGGATCCAAATTAAATAAATCTCAAGTAGGCTTCACAGTATTTATCATCACTGAATGTAAAATTATTTTACACATAACTACCAACTGTAAACCTGATTCGAGATTGGAAATGTTATTGCTGTCTAATCTTTTTTTTTTCGTTTATCGATGGTCGTTTTTGAAGAGATAAAATAAAAGCCTGTGCTGCAGCTCCTCAGAGTGATCAATGGTGGACGTTACTTTCCTAAACGCATTATGCCCATCCAGAGCTCAGCACCGGTCACGTGACTTAAACCTATTAATTTCCCTATGTCGCGCTCAGTCTCGAGGCGCACAAATCTCAGCCAATCCTGTGAGAGCAACAGCACATGACTAGTTGCTTCAACACCACATATATACTGCTGTCTGACACTCAGTTCAGTATCAGTTTTTGAGATCACCACTCAGAAAACATGCCTGAAACCGTGAAAGCGCCCAAGAAGGGCTCAAAGAAAGCCGTCTCTAAGGCCACCAAGACCGGGAAGAAGAGGAGAAAGTCCAGGAAGGAGAGCTATGCCATCTACGTCTACAAGGTCCTGAAGCAGGTCCACCCTGATACCGGTATCTCCTCCAAGGCTATGGGCATCATGAACTCGTTCGTGAGCGACATCTTTGAGCGCATCGCCGGGGAGTCCTCCCGTCTGGCTCAATACAACAAGCGCTCCACCATCACCTCCAGGGAGATCCAGACCGCTGTCCGCCTGCTGCTGCCCGGTGAGCTGGCTAAACACGCCGTGTCTGAGGGCACCAAAGCTGTGACCAAGTACACCAGCTCCAAGTAAACTCGCTGATAACCAGCAATAACAAAACGGTCCTTTTAAGGACCACACAACATTTCACCTGAGAGCTGAAATCCTGATAATCCTATTATATTAAACAGTTAATCATATCTACGGATCTGGGCCATTAATTTAGTATGGTGATGCTCATTTTGGTTAGAAGATATTTCATGTTGTATGACACACCTCTACCTCTATTATTCACATTTACTTCTTGATGTTGGAGCTGGAAGTCAAATGTGAGAAACACATTTTGTAATTGATGCCTAAAAAGCAGCATCAACAAAACAAAGTTAAATTAACTGTCCCAGCTTTCATTGTCTATTCTATTTAATAGCTCCAAATAAAGGTTTATTTAACTACTTCATGAAATCAGGCTAAATCAGTAATTGTTCAGGTCAAATGTGCCTGTTAACCGTTGTATTTCTATTAGTTAAATGTTCTTAAATTAAACATAAGTTACAAGTTGTATTCACCTAATGACTTGATGCAGATTGTCATTGACTGAAATAAAACTTGACAGTCTCATCCAGGAGAACGGCAAGAATGAGAGTTCTGCATATATGGGTTACTTGAAGTGTTGCTGAAATAAATGAGATTTAACGCTATTCGAGATCAAACACTAACCCTAATCAGGAGGAACATTGTTGTTTGTGATTATTATACATTTAATTATTAGCAGCGTTGCACTCCGTAATCTTGTGTCTGTAGTTGTACAAATAATTGATTGTAATGAATTTATCATACAAGCGTCTGATTTTCTCCTTTGAGACACATGGAGAGAGCATCTTCGTTGTCATCTTCATCTTTATTGTAATTTGTTTAGACTGCTAGATGAAGCAAATTCATTATCACAATTAATGGTTAGATACATCAGTTATAAGCTAGGGGAGATAAAAACATGACATGTAATTTTGGTTATGCAAGTGCATTTGCAACAGACATCGCTCCTAATTGGGTTTATCAGACGGTAGACTAAAGTTCCGATTACAATTGATTCTATTTGGTAAGGAACGACTTCTGAGATGAAGTGTGTGGCTCTTAAAAGAGCCTTTGGGTTTCAGTGTGAGTGGGTCAGGATCAGGTTTAACCTCCGAAGCCGTACAGAGTGCGTCCCTGTCTCTTCAGAGCGTAAACCACATCCATGGCGGTGACGGTCTTCCTCTTGGCATGCTCGGTGTAGGTGACGGCATCACGGATAACATTCTCCAGGAACACCTTCAACACACCACGAGTCTCCTCGTAGATGAGACCAGAGATACGTTTGACTCCACCACGACGAGCCAGACGGCGGATAGCGGGCTTGGTGATTCCCTGGATGTTATCACGGAGGACTTTACGGTGTCGCTTAGCACCTCCTTTACCAAGTCCTTTACCTCCCTTTCCTCTTCCAGACATGTTAGCAGTTCAGTTGTTGAGAGCTGAATGATTCTGAGTTAGGATTCACGTTTTTCTAAATCTAGTCTCTGAGAACCTCATTGAAGTCAGAGGGCTGCTTTCTTCTTCTTCGGTCATGTTTTTTCAAAGCAAAATCCTTTGAAGCATTAGCGCCCCCCTCTGAGCAGCAGCATGAATTAGGGACAGCGTGACTCCTGTTAGACTGACTGAGCTCCACATGGACCAGAAAACATTCAACATCTTGGAGTGAAATCTTTCACACCGAGATGAAGGAAGATTATTACTGTTTGTATTCTGTTTTTAAACAAACGACACAACATGCTGCAGCAGAGATCATTTCAGCACCTAACTCAAAACGTTGCCTTTATGTGAGTTTCTGCAACAACAGAGCAGCAAATTCATTCTAGATTTTTGCGATAAAGATTAGCTACTGATGTTTTTTCTTCTCTAAAGACACGAGGAAAAGAGACGTGTAGACCTATTAAGCCTACCTAAGAATAGGAGCACATTTCTAAATATTTACACATTTTGTATTATTGTTGTTTTGTATTCCTTTGAGATTTTCATTCAAATATAGGCTACACAACGCGCCATTCATATGCTGTTAACATTTATATTCAAATGTAATGTAACTAAAAGGACAAATTAAGGTAAGCGAGGCTTACCTTGTTGGCCTGTTTGAGGACACCAACCTGTGCACCATCCACGCCAAGAAGAGCCTTTTAAGAGCCACCACATTTTACTCAAGAGATATTCCTGTACTGTCAAATTTAGTCAATTTTATTTCATCATTAGTCCCATTTTTTGGACTAAAAATATCCCACTGAAAGGATACGCAGTGCTGCAACCAGACATAATAATAGACATCATTCCTATGATGCACATATAGCATATTGTATAGAGCACATATTACAACGTTATAATTACCGGTAAATACACATTGAACTTATTTTCCATTATATCATTATTTTCCTTTTCCAAGATTTGTCACTCAGATATAGTCTATATATAAATTATATAACATTTTAATATTAAGGCTCCCTCGTTTTTAATCTTACAGCTACAATAACTGCTGGAAATCACAAGCAACTCAGGATCAATCAAACAACTTCTTGGGAAGGAGGTAAGAGTTGTCACTTGGACATTCAATAGCTAGCCAAGACAGAAGACATTAGAGCAACACATACAATAATTACAAATGATTATAACACATAGGATTGATACATTTCAAACATAAGAAGCTAACATTTAAAACATCTCACTACAAGTTTGAAGGTAGCTCATGGAACAGCAGAGACAGGAACAGATCCAGATTGTGTGCAGGTTAATGGAATTCATAAGCAGAAATGAAGATAGGGGAAATAGTAGATTCTCACAAGTATATAAGCTCAATCAATCTTTAGTTGTATTGTGCCAATTCAAAATAAAAGTTATCTCCAGACACTTCACAAAAGGCAGGTAAGACCTGTGTATTGTTTTTGTGCGGATGAAAATAATATATTCCACTGTCGCTGTCCGAGGTGCTGAACTGGAGCATGTAGTGTAATTTACTTAGAAATAGAATAAAAGTAGTAACAACCTTCCTTCATAAAGGAATCCAAGTACAAGAAAGAGGCTGTTGGAGCTCCCTGTCCTCATCTCCTTAGAGCATCAATAAGATATCTATGAATGCAAAATGGTAAGAAGTGTAATTATTAACAATGAAAAATGATCTTCTCCATGCTGTGAAGGGTTACTTTATGAACAGTATGTAAGGGTTAAACAAATCAATAAGTAAATTAAGTCATTTAACCTTGTATTTACTTTAACTTACTCCTAACATTATTTTCTGCTCACACTATTTGTAAAAACAAAATGTTGTTTTCTCAGGGGGAGCGTGGCTGTGTACAATCATCTAAGGAGGCTGACACCAGAAACAAGATATAATGATATTATAGAGGACTTTGCATCCAAAAAAGCAAGAAGACAAACATTCTGACATGGTCATTAACAGGAACAGGGTAATAAAAAAATGGATGAGGTGAAAATCAAAGTTTGCTTTTTATGGCTTTGGATGAATGTTTTCTCATTCCCTTTTTCTCTATTATTGTTTTTATTTTGTTTTTGCTTATTAATTTTATTTTCTATTCGTTTTTTTAAATTTATATTTTATTAGATGTATATATTTTACTACTGAAACTTGTATTTGCAAGTTACAATTTTGTTCCATTGTTATTGTTGTTGTGGAATTTATTATTATCTTGCTGTGTTCTAAAAGAATAAATATAAACTCAAACTAGAATCTTTAATCTGTCTGCTATATCAAGAGAACAAGTTTTCATTGCTTAATCAGCAAAGTAGGAATTTCCGGTGCAACGTCCCAATCGCCTGTTCAAGTCCCGGTGCGGACCAAATATAGAAGTTGGATTGGTTCCGTCAGCCCCGTCACCCTGACATACCTCCGTTAGTGTATGTCCATAGGATCCTGTTTGTGCGTGTGTGTGTATATTTCAGCCTATGTGTGTGTAGCATGACTTACAGAGTGTAAAAACAGAAATTCATTTTTTTAATAATTTAATTTGGTTTAATTATTTTATTTAATTTAATTATTTAATTTCAATAAAAGTATATCTCAATCTTACAGAGTACAATATAATATAGTGCAATATAATAAGATGTAATATAATATATCATATAGACTAACATAATATAATATCATTAGAATATACAGTGTATATCGATGCTAAATAATAATACAATAATACAATGATAATAATGAAGCCTGTCATGTGGTAGTGTTTATGGGGTTGAACTGGTATTGTTGTCATAGACTGCTGTTGTACAGTCTTATGGCAGTGGGCACAGAGGAGTACCTGGAGGAGACGAGGTGTTGGCTGAAAGAGCAGCTCGTCAAGGAGAAGGTGAGAGGAGTTATCCAGGATGGATAAATCTTGGATTTGAGCAAGAGTCCAAAAAGTGAACATAACACAAAATAGTAATCAACATGTTTTTATAAATTTAAATAGTGAATATAAAACCAACCATCAACACCTCAGTATAAAGATATTGTTTGTCAACAACAAATGCCTTTCAGCAGAACAGTTTATTTTTACAACTTTCAAAATAAAACCTCACCATTAATTTAAAAAACATTTGAAATATCTGTTTAAAATTTGTTTTATATTTCACAGTGAAAAAGTTGAATGAGTTTCATATGAATGAACCTTCAAAAATAATCATGACTCACAGTCTATCTGTAGAATCCTTATTGATCTTTTTACCTCAAATATATCACAGAGGAGGAGGAATAACTCTCAGTCCACCATGATCAATGAGGAGATCAGCTGAGGAGAATTAGAGATTTATTTAATGTTAATTAAATTAATGTGATGTTATTACTCAGTTGACAGTGATGATTTTTAAACCTATAGACAGAAAACTGCTCTCCATACAAACTCAAACTGATGTGATGTATTCAGTCTCTATCAGCACAGGAATGATTCATTATGTTGTTAGATTATTACATCGTACTATCATAAACCTCTAACTTTGTGTCCTCTTGATGAATTCTATCATTTGGTCTGACCTGGAGATCAAACCCACAACATCATCTGTGAGTCTGTGTGATCTCCTGAGTCTCCGACAGCCTCCGTGTGTTTACCTCCACTGAAAACTCTCCGATTAAAACTAAACAAATCAAAGTATAAGGTTAATGTTTGTTTTATTTAAATAACTGATGTCTCTGCTTACACTATCATCCTTTTAAAACTTTCACAGGTCTCATTAAGACACTTTAGGAGCCGAAATGTGTCGGAAAATCCCCGCGTGTTGTCCAAACAGAGCGGGTATCATAGAGGTTTGAAGCCTGCTGTAATGAAATGAAAGAGACCTCGTCCACAAACATGAGCTGAATCTGAAGAGATGAAGGTTTTCTAACTGATGCGGGACGTTTTTTCTGTTTAAACAGATTCTCTGTGTGAGTTTTATCCCCATAAAGTTGAAGATAAAACACAAAGTGTCGCCACATTTCAGACAGGAGGAAGAGCGTCTGTGTGGGTTGACTCTTCACGGTTCTCATGTTCCCTATAAGTCCCGCCTCCTGTCAGTCTTCTTCACACGTCCAGTGAGAGATCAACATGGCAGAAGAAGCTCCAGCAGTAGCAGCCCCGGTGGTGAAAGCCCCGAAGAAGAAAGCGGCTCCCAAGCCCAAGTCTGATGGACCCCCCCTCCCGACGCTCATCATCAGCGCTGTGGCTGAGTCCAAAGAGCGTAAAGGTGTTTCCTTATCGGCCGTCAAGAAGGCACTGGCCGCTAAAGGTGTGGATGTGGTCAAGGCTAACAAACGCATCAACGCCGCCGTGGTTAAGCTGGTAACAAACGGAACTTTGGCCCAGACTAAAGGCAGTGGTGCCTCCGGATCTTTCAAGCTCGCAAAGAAAGAGCCCAAAGCCGCCAAACCAGCAGCGAAGAAGGTCGCAAAGAAAGCTCCAGCCAAGGCAAAGAAGCCCGCAGCAAAGAAAGCTACACCCAAGAAGACTCCAGTCAAGAAAGTACCAGTCAAGAAGTCACCGAAGAAGGTAGCAGCTAAGAAAACCCCGGTCAAGAAGGCAACCAAAAAGCCTGCTGCTAAGAGTCCCAAGAAGGCTGCTCCCAAGAAAGTGGTCAAGAAGACTCCAGTGAAGAAAACTCCAACAAAGAAAACAGCAGCAAAGAAGACTGCAGCCAAGAAGGCCAAGAAGTAAATCTTCACACCAGCATTCAATGCATCAAAGGCTCTTTTAAGAGCCCCCACAACTTCCACTAAAGAGTCTGTCCTCAATGATACTATTTATAATCATATCATTTATGTTTATAATCACCTCTGAATGTTGAATGTGGTCACATTCATGTGTGCAACAAACTAAGATGAATAGGAGTCCAAGGTAGTGAATCAGAGTATAAACTAATCCTTATTTCAGGCTAGGCTACATCTAGGTTACAACCAGAGGAAACCAGAATCTAGACCAGCAAAGACAAATAATAATTAAGGTCACAGA